ACCCCAATATTAGGTAGCAAAATAAAGCCATTAAGTGCTCTTAGGGTTTAATATACAAACAATATTGTATTATCTTTCAGAATCGACAGGTAACTGAGGCTGGGTGGCATGTTGGGGTAGGGGGGCTGATGGATTAGAGAGCATCCCATTTCTTCCCCCTGTGCATTTTGTTCCCTCCCTCCCCCTCCTGCTTAGTTTAAATCAATTTTTTAAATTGAAGATCCTCATTGTTTTAATGTTTATACTGCATTTTATTCAATATCTGTAAGCCACCCAGATTCACTTTTGGCAATATGGGCGGCATATAAGTTTGATAAATAAATAAATGTGGCTGACCTTTAAAAACATATTGCCTTATAAAAGCAGTAATCTTCAAAAGATTGCACAACAATAAAATTGTTAGCTGGGGCTGCATTTGTTTAATACGTTTTAGCCATAATTAACTAATCCATGGTTTGTTAATTAACTCAATTTCCTGGTAGTAATTCTCCCCAGCGTCCAAGTTGTTGCTCCTGTTCCTTATTATTAAAAGGGCAACACTTGACCAAAAAGAAAAAAAAAAGAAAAGAAACAAACAAAAATTTAATGTCACAATGCAACAGAATTTAAGAAAATAGCTTTAGCAGTCTCCTGCTGTTTTTACCCAAAGATGATTAGGGGACTGGAGGCTAAAACATACAAGGAACGGTTCCTGGAATTGGGTATGTCCAGTTTAATGAAGAGAAGGATGAGGGGGGACATGATAGCCGTGTTCCAATATCTCAGGGGCTGCCACAAAGAAGAGGAAGTGAAGCTATTTTCCAAAGCGCCTGAAGGCAAGGACAAGGAGCAACGGATGGAAACTCATCAAGGAACTAAGGAGAAACTTCCTGACAGTTAGAACAATTAACCAGTGGAACAACCTGCCTCCAGAAGCGGTGAATGCTCCAACACTGGACGAGTATGACTGGCTCAGGAATTCTGGGAGTTGAAGTCCACGAGTCATAAAAGAGCCAAGGTTGCCTACCCCTGGCCCTAGTCTAATGAAAAGGAGGACTAGGGATGACATGACAGCAAGCTGGGGAATTCTGGGAGTTGAAGTCCGCCCATCATGTGGCGAAACACTGTGAAGGGTTTTTTTTTAAAAGGGGGGGGTTAAAGTGAGGATCCAAGCGAAGTGCATCATGGGAGGCCAGCCCCTGATTCTCAAAAGGCGGCTCTCCCCCCCTCCCCAATTTCTCCTTCAGCCCCTCAGGAAACCTCTTGAGCGGAACGTTTGTGTCGGGGGACGGAGTTTCCGGTCGGGTCGGGGGAACGAACGGACCGTCGGACCCACTTGCGAGCGGCGCCCGTTTGGGCACGGCGGCTGTCATGGCGGCCTGAGGCGCGGTGCGGCCGAGCGGAGAAGCAGCCGGGGAGAGAACGGCAGTTGCCCGGTAAGGACCGCCACCCGAAGCCCGGGACTGAGAAGGGCGCGACTTCGGGGGCCGGGAAAGTCCCTCGTTCGGGGCGCCGCGGGAGGCGGGCGAGCCGGCAGACAAGCAGGGAGGCGTTTGCCTTCGCTGCCGCCGCTCCTCTGTCTCTCCGGAGCCTCCCTGGCTCCCCCCACGCTGCCATGGGAATGATGGGATTTGGAGTCCAAATGGTTTTGCGGGGTGGGGGAATGGGGGAGGTTGACGAGAGCTGAAATTCGGGCCAGTGGGAATGGCCTTAAGAAAAGAAAAGGCTGGGGATGATGGGCGTGGTAGCGGGCGCCCTTTTCAGCCGGAGCATCCGCCTCGTCTCCCTCTCCCTCGGGATGCCGGCTCTAGGCTGCAAGGCTCCGGGCGACCGCTAGAGGGCGCCAGTTAAGTGCCTACCGGGCTGTGGCTGCCCCCTGGCGGCCTCGTGGAGTTTTGCAGGCCAGATTTGGAACATTTCTCTTGATTTATCCCAGAGGTAGGCAACCTTGGCTCTTTTATGACTCGCGGACTTCAACTCCCAGAATTCCTGAGCCTGCATGGCTCAGCTTGGAAACCTCTCCCTTTCCCCTCAGCATGGCTGGCTCAGGAATTCTGGGAGTTGAAGTCCACGAGTCATAAAAGAGCCAGGGTTGCCTACCCCTGATTTATCCCAAAGGTGCTTTTTTCATAAGGCAACTGGACTTCCTTGTTTTTTCTTTGAAGATGTTTTGCTTCTCATCCTAGAAGCTTCTTCAACTCTGACCGGATGGTGGGGAAATGGAAGGATTTATACTCCTTGCAGACAGCTGGTCATTCGCCTTCTTTTAGAGCAGACATGTCAAACACCAGGCCCGGGGGCGGCGAAGTGGTTTCATGTGGCCCGCGAAGCCATCCTGGAAACAGGAACGGCGCCCGCTGCCTTGGCCCTCCAGGGGACCATGTGAGGCTCCTCCAGTGGACCATGCCTTGACACTTGCCCTGGTCCCACCCACCCCCTTCTGCCAGAGACCCTCAGATCTGTCCCACTCCTGCCCAGGCCCCTACAGGCACCCTTGATGCAAACGATGTAGAGCTGGCCATGGCCACCCAGTAGGCTACGCCCACTCCATCCACGCCCACCCAGTAGGCCACACCCATCCTGGTCACACATACAACCCCCGGGCAACCGCAATGCTGATGCGGCCCTCAATGAAATTGAGTTTGACACCCCTGTTTTAGAGAGTCGTTGAGGCCACTTGGAGGTTTATCTGTCCTCAGGGTCGCCTGAGTAGTGACATCATCTATCTCCAGTCTACAACAGAGTCCCTTCAACAGTTCCAAGAAGGCTCCACACCCATCTGCACCACTCAGGTGACCCTGAGGACACAGGTAAGCCTCCAAGTGGCCTCAACGACTCTCTAAAAGAAGGCAAATGACCAGCTGTCTGCAAGGAGTATAAATCCTTCCATTCCTCACTACTCAGTCAGAGCTGAAGAAGCTTCTGGGACGAGAAGCAAAACATCTTAAAAAAAAAACAAACACCCCCCCCCCCAAAAAAAAGAAGTCCAGTTGCCTCATGAAAAAGCACCTTTGGGGTAACTATGACTTGGATGACTGAGAATCTCCACAGACATTTCTCTTGACTTCTTTCCTCTCTCTTGCAGGGAACATGTGCAGCCACCAATTCCCTTAAATGCAGCCCGTTTAAGTGGTAACCAGTTGTGTGTGGTAACCATTTTTTCTCCTAGTCTGTATTTATGAGCACACTGGAGCCTGAAATAACACTGATTATTTCTGTTCACTGCCTCTGACTGGGATACCTGGACAGAAGACTCTGCTTCTACAATATCCAGTGGAGACCCTTCTCACTTTCTTTGCAAGCCCCTGAGTGGTATGTACGTTGCTTATTTATGAACTCCAAGTGTATAATCAAATTTTGGATAGTTGCCTCATATTTATTGACAGTTGCAGTGTCCCGGGGGACACCTGATCCCCTTTTGTGACCTTCTTACAAGCAAAGTCAATGGGGAAGCCAGATTCACTTAACAACCATGTTACTAACATAAAAACTGGCAAGAAAAGTTGTAGAATGGGGCAAAACTCACTTAACAACTGTCTTGTTTAGCAACAGAAATTTTGAGCGCAATTGTCATAAGTTGAGAACTACCTCTATGTAAAAACAATAAAAAACTCTTTTCCCCAGTTGATTAACAGACCATTCACTAATATGCGGGCTCCGTTACTGTCCTAGTCCTGATGGTTGGGAAGACCACCAGGTCTTGAAAGCTTTCTGAAAGGTGAGCTGAGTGGACTTCAACTCCCAGAATTCCTCAGCCAGGGAGTTGAAGTGCACAAGTCATAAAAGGGCCAAGTTTGAAGACCCCTGGTCTAGATAGTCCTTGACATATAACCAATCATTTAATGGTGGTTCAAAATTACAAAGGCACTGAAAAAAGTGACTTAGGACCAGTTTTCACACTTAACGAGGGTTGCAGCATCCCAAAGGTCATATGCAAATTCAGACACTTGGCAACTGGTTTGTACTTACAACCGTTTCACTGTTCCAGGATCACATGATCATCATTTGTAACCTTCCCAATGGGCCTCTGCTAAGCAAAGTCAAACAAGGAAGTCCTTTAATAACCGCATGACTTAACAACTGCACTGATTTATAATAATAATAATAATAATAATAATAATAATAATAATAGTAGTAGTAGTAGTAATAATAATAATAATAATAATAATAATAATAATAATAATAATAATAATAGTAAAGTTGGAAGGGACCTTGAAGGTCATCTAGTCCAACCCCCTGCTCAGGCAGGAAGCCCTATACCATTTCAGACAAATGGCTGTCCAGTCTCTTCTTAAAAACTTCCAGTGTTGGAGCATTCACCGCTTCTGGAGGCAGGTTGTTCCACTGGTTAATTGTTTTGACTGTCAGGAAGTTTCTCCTTAATTCCAGGTTGCTTCTCTCCTTGATGAGTTTCCATCCGTTGCTTCTTGTCTTTGCCCTCAGGGGCTTTGGAGAATAGCTTGACTGCCTCTTCTTTGGGGCAGCCCCTGAGATACTGGAACGCTGCTATCATGTCCCCCCTCGTCCTTCTCTTCATTAAACTATTTGTTTAATGATTTGTTTAACTGTGGGCAAAAAAAGTTGTAAAGTGGGGCAAAACCCATTTAATTGTCTTACTTGGCAACGGAAATGTTGGATTCCGTTGTGATCCTAACTCGAGAGCTACCTGCATTGCTTTTATTCCTACTGACTGTTCTCTTTATGCTTTTTATATTTGTCTAAGTAGTTTTGAAAGTTCCATTTTTTAAAAATGGGAAAAGCAGATTTTTTTTTTAATTCTGTCACCCTTCTTTTTCCCAGCCTCCATAAACGTGTACTTTAGTTTTTTTGTTTTTTTTCTCCTTTAGGGTTGAGCACCTCTTGACCACAAATTGTTTTTTTAGGACGATGCTTTTTTTAGACACGAAATAAAGCCGAAGTGTTTTCATTCATCAGACTGGCTGCTGTCCGCATGTTCCTTTTGTGCCAAACATTGAACAGCAACTGTGACGCTCTTGTTTTGCAGGGTTAAAAAACTGAGAATGGCAGGGGAGCAAAAACCAGCCTCCAGTCACCTGGAGCAGTTCGTTTTATTAGCCAAAGGCACCAGCGGTGCAGCTCTGATCGCTCTCATCAACCAAGTGCTGGAGGCTCCAGGGGTTTATGTCTTTGGAGAACTACTGGAATTGACCAACGTGCGAGAGGTAAGCTTTGGACTTGTTCCCTTCTTCATTTGTTTCTATGCTGGGGCAAGAAGTTACAGTAAGATTCCAATGGAAGAGAATCTCCGCGGCTCCGGGTTGAACCGTGGGGTCCTTGGTGCTCTTGGAGCTGGGTGATTTTCTCGCAGATGTTTCGTGACCCAACTAGGTGACATCATCAGTGCTGGAAAGGAGGAGGGGGGGAAGAGGAGAAGGAGGAGGAGGAGAATGAGAATGACGACTATGGGGTCTTTGGTGCTCTCAGAGCTTGGTGGTTTTCTTGCAGACATTTCATGACCCAACTAGGTAACATCATCAGTGCTAGAAGGGAGGAGGAGGGGGAAGAGGAGAAGGAGGAGGAGGAGGACTGTGGGGTCCTTGGTGCTCTTGGAGCTTGGTGGTTTTCTTGCAGACATTTCATGACCCAACTAGGTAACATCATCAGTGCTAGAAGGGAGGGGGGTTGTGGAGAGGAGGAGGAGGAGGAGGAGGAGAACAACAATGATTGTGGGACCCTTGGTGCTCTCTGAGCTTGGTGGTTTTCTTGCAGACATTTCATGACCCATTTAGGTAACACCATCAGTACTAGAAGGGAGTGGCATGTGTAGCAAGGAGGAAGAGGAGGACTATGGGATCCTTGGTGCTCTCTGAGCTTGATTGTTGTTCTTTTTTTTGCAGACATTTAGTGACCAATTAGGTAACATCAGTGCTAGTAAGGTTAGCAGAGCAGGAGGGGGAGGAAGAGGAGGGCAAGGAGGATGACAACAATTGTGGGGTCCTTGGTGCTCTCTGAGCTTGGTTGCTTTCTTGCAGACATTTCGTGACCCAACTAGGTAACATCATCAGTGCTAGAAGGGAGGGGGGTTTGCGGAGAGGAGGAGGAGGAGGAGGAGGAGGAGAACTGTGGGGTCCTTGGTACTCTCTGAGCTTGGCTGTTTTCTTGCAGACGTTTCACGACCCAAACTAGGTAACACCATCAGTGCTAGCAAGCGTGGGTTTTTCTGTCTGTTTTTATACAGTAGCTTGCCCTGCCAGTGTTGGCAGCGGTGTGGTTTTCTCCTTAATAGCTTCTACTACTCCAGCAACCCACATCCAGATAAGCAGGGATGAATACCAGACAAAGAATGACACGAAAAGGAATACAGGTAGTGACTTGAGAACGGTTCGTTTAGTGACGATTTGAAGTTACAACGGCACTGAAAACAGCGACTTAGGAAAACAGCGACTGTGGATTCCCCACCGTTTGTAAACGGCTACGCTCCCTGGGCCAAAGCGTGGCACCTAAACCAGGGCCACCTGGTGCTGCTCCCTTTATTTGAAATCTAGCACTGAAGATGGTGACCTGTGGCACTGAAATACAGGTAGCCCTCGGCCACCGTTGAGCCCAAATTTCCCTTGCTCAGTGAACCGCGTGTCACGTGTAATTTTGCCCCCCCCTTTTACGACCTTTCTTGCCATCCTTGCGAAGCGAATCCCTGCGGCTGTTAAGTGGGTCACACGGTCATTAAGTGAATCTGGCTCCTCCCCCCCCCATTGAGTCGGCTTGTCAGAAGGTCGCAAAAGTGGATCCTGTCTCCCCGGGAGAGTGCAGCCGTCTTAAATACGAGTCAGCTGCCAAGCCTCCGAATTTGGATCACGTGACTAGGGGGATTCTGCAACGGCCGCAAGTGTGAAAAACGGTCACAAGTCCCTTTTTTTCCCAGTGTGGTTGTAGCTTGGAACGGGCACTAAATGAACTGTGGTTAAGTTGAGGACTGGCTGTAGTGGCCTTTGTGTCTTCTCTTGATTCGGCTCTGTGTGCCATCCTGTCTTCTGACGCCGAGCCCTGGCTTAGTCTGTTCTGCTGGCCATGGTTTAATAATAATAATGATAATGATAATGATGATGATGATGATGATGATGATGATGATGATGATGATGATGATGATGATAAAGTTGGAAGGGACCTTGGAGGTCATCTAGTCCAACCCCCTGCTCAGGCCGGTAACCCTATACCATTTCGGACAAATGGCTGTCCAGTCTCTTCTTAAAAACCTCCAGTGTTGGAGCATTCACAGCTTCTGGAGGCAGGTTGTTCCACTGGCTAATTATTCTAACTGTCAGGAAGTTTCTCCTTAGTTCTAGGTTGCTTCTCTCCTTGATCGGTTTCCACCCGTTGCTTCTTGTCCTGCCTTCGGGCGCTTTGGAGAAGAGCTTGACTCCCTCTTCTTTGGGGCAGCCCCTGAGATACTGGAAGGCTGCTATCATGTCCCCCCTCGTCCTTCTCTTCGTTAAACTAGACATCCCCAATTCCAGCAACCGCTCCTTATATGTTTCAGCCTTCAGATGAATAACTCCTTTTTGCTTTTCTGTATCTCCAGATTGCTGAAGGGCCCAATGCTGCTTATTTCCAGCTGCTGAATCTCTTTGCCTATGGAACCTACCCAGATTATGTTGGTAAGAGTCTGCTGGAACTGTAGAAAACTTTGACCCGATGCAGGTAGCAGCAATACCGTGTTTTCCCCCAAAATAAGACCCGGTCTTATATATATATATATATATATATATATTTGCCTCCAAAAGGGACATGAGGTCTTATTTTTTTTCACTGTCTCGCCTCGGGGTGGCGGCTCCGACAGCCCCATCTAGCAGGACCCCACGTCGCCGGCCCACTTCTTCTGCGGCCACTCACTGACCATTTGCGTGCGTCGCCCACAGCCTCCGTTTCTCCGGCATAGGCCTTCAGGATAGGTCTTATTTTGGGGGAAACACGGAATCTGTCTCTCTCTCTCTCTCTCTCTCTAGTGATCAAATTTATATAGCTGCTCATCTCATTAAAGGCTGCTCTGGGTGACACACAACCATAAATACTGCCTTTCTAAGCTTTGCTGGCAAATTTCTTCCTCAAAATATATCCAACGTGCCCGTTGGTTTCACCCTAGTAGGCATAATCTCTCTCTTTTAACAGCGGCAACCAGGAGTCGCGGGATTTCCATCTCTTAAAACAGACATGTCAAACACAAGGCCTGGGGAGCCGGATGCAGCCCCCGACGTGGTTTCATGTGGCCCGCGAAGCCATCCTGGAAATAGTGAGGGAACGGCCCCTGCTGCCTTGGCCCTGGCCCAGGCCGGCCAGGAGCCAATGTACAATTTTGTGGTGGCCATCTATGCTGAAACGCATTCAGTCTTAGCTCCACAAGGCCGTCTGGAAACAGCAAGGAACCAGCCCCTGCCATGTCGCCCCCGCCCCCTGGGTGCATGCTGGGGAGGTGTCACCCTTTGTGAGGAATGAAGAAATGCACCATCGCCTGGAAGTGGCCACCAAATGGCCCTCGCCTACTTCACATATCCGGCTTGATGGGCTCCGGCGGAAAGGTTTTGGCAGGCAGTGAGGCTCCTCCAGTGGACCATGCCTTGGCACTTGCCCCGGTCCCACCCCCTTCTGCCAGAGACCCTCAGATCTGTCCCACTCCTGCCCAGGCCCCCACAGGCACCCTTGACGCGAATAATGTAGAGCTGGCCATGCCCACCCAGTAGGCCACACCCACTCCCTCCACGCCCCCCAGTAGGCTGCACCCACCCTGGCCACACCCACCCGGCCCCCCAAGGGCAACCGCAATGCTGATGTGGCCCTCAGTGAAATTGAGTTTGACACCCCTGTCTTAAGACCATCGCGGTTTATAGGGCTGCCTTGCCTACTGGTGGAAATTCCAGTCCCCAGGTGCCATCGTTAAGTGAGGACCGCTCGTATTTGCAAGCCTTCCGCTCCCCTCACTTTGTGTCCCCCCTTCTCTTCCTGTCGATAACTACGTTTCTCCCCCCCCCCCAGTGACGTGACAATCTGTGCCCCTCTCTTCCAAAAGGGCCTTGGGGTTGACAGTCTTTGCCATTTGCCAAGGGGTTAAGGGGAAAAGGGAAGGACCCCCAAATACGTTGAGTTTAATCCCTCATCTGAAGGCCTTGTTGAATTTTGATCTCTCGGACAGCGAACCAGAACAGCCTGCCAGCTTTGACGGGGGCCCAGAAGAACAAGTTGAAGCACTTGACCATCGTCAGCTTAGCTTCCCGGATGAAGGTAAGGCGGAAATGCATCCGGTTAAAACCCCGGTTTATTTTCTGCAGGCGGAGCCAAGTGACCAACGTGCAGGCAGGGACCACCGCGACGGCTCTGCTCTGCCCCACCCAAATCTAGGCGTTCTAGAGTAGGCGCCCGTTCAGGATTTCAGTAGGGAAATAGACCAATCGGGCCAAATTGGAACGTGGGTGCCTGAAGTATTGCCCTTCTCTTTAGTATTTGGGCATGGGCATGTTAGACACTCTTTCTTTTTCTTTCTTTCTCTTTTTCTTTCTTTCTTTCTTTCTTTCTTTCTTTCTTTCTTTCTTTCTTTCTTTCTTTCTTTCTTTCTTTTTTTCTTTCTTTCTTTCTTTCTTTCCCTTCTTTCCTTCCTTGTTTCTCTTTGTCTCTCCTCTTTTTTTTTTTCTTTCTTTCTCTTTCTTCCTCTGTCTTTCTTTCTCTTTCTGTTTCTTTCTCGTTCTCTTTTTCTTTGTCTTTTCATTCATTCTTTTTCTCTTTCTCAGATAGGGCGGCACAGCATTGTGGAGCGGGTATACAGGCAGTCCTCAGCTTACGGCTGCAACGAAGCCCAAAATCTCCGTTGTTAAGTGAGACAGTTGCTGTGAGTTTTGCCCCATTCTACCAGCTTCCTTGCCCCAGCCATTAAGCGAACCACTGCAGCTGATCAGTTAACAACCCGCTTGTTAAGTGAACGTGGTTTCCCGCGTGGACTTTGTGCATGTCGGAAGGTCACCAAAGGGGACCACACGACCTTGGGACACGGCGACCGTCGTAAATACAAAACGTGACCCCAGAGGTCGTTAACTCTGAAAAAACGCTCATTAAGTTGCTTTTTACAGTGCCGGTCACTCAACGAACAGTCGTAAGTCGAGGACTGCCTGTATAAGTCTAAGTCAGTGATGGCGAACCTTTTAGAGACAGTGCCCAAACTGCAACCCAAAACCCACTTACCTATCGTCGGGTATTGGGTGGGCGTGGCCCATTGGGTGGGCGTGACTGCGGTGGTAACGGCAGACTGGGCGGGACTAAAAAGTTCAATCAATCAATTCCAACTTTGCAAGATCTTTTTTTTACTCACGTGACGTTGAAATTGATTGATTAATTGAACATTTTTTTTTTGTACACGGCGGCGGAGGCCTAAAGCGAAAAGGTTTTATAAAACCCAGCTGAAGGCCTAGGACTGGGGCGACGGCACGCGCGCCCACAGAGAGGGCTCTGAGTGCCGCCTCGGGCACCCATGCCATAGGTTCGCCACCACGGGTCTAAGTGCTATTGCTATATCCTCATCTGGGCGATGTCTTCCCTTCCTGCCTTCCCTCTCTCCCCCCCACCCCCTCCCCAGTGCATCCCTTACTCAGTGCTGCTGAAAGATCTGGACATGCGCAACCTCAGGGAGTTGGAAGACCTGATTATTGAAGCCGTTTACACTGACATCATCCAAGGCAAACTGGATCAACGGAACCAGGTGCTGGAAGTGGATTTCTGCATCGGGCGGGACATCCAAAGGAAGGACATCAGCAACATCATTAAAACCCTCAATGAGTGGTGAGTTGTGCCCCTCCCTCCTTCCCTCTGGCCCAACAGGTGTGTGGGGGGGTCTCTCCCGTCCCCCAGATTATAGTAGTGGCCAAAATTGTGGAAACCTTTTGGGAAAAGTGTATTTTTGAGGTTTGATGGCTAATAACACCACTTTTTCTTTGGAGCAGTACCCTAAAAATATATATCAATGGAAAGATGATTTAATCAAGAATGTAATGCAACGAAGTTTGTTCAATTGTCTGTACTGTATTCTATGAAAAGATATAGCCAAAGAACCAGAAAAAGGAAGCACAATTTGCTCAGGTTGATATCAGGTAGCTTTCCTTCACCCAATTGTAGCTAATGAGCACGAGTGTTTAAAGAGCCAATGAGGTGTCATCTTGTTTTGGCCATGAGCCAATCAGATCACAGTAGGATCCAGTGATTGATGTCCTGTATTGAAGCTGAGAGGAGGACATGGGTCAGTGTGTTATGTGATGGCTATCAAGTTGGCTGGGGGGTTTTTTTGCGTTCTTTCACTTAGTGAACTTGTAAAACGTAATAAAATTAAAGTTAACGTTGCAAAGAATTGACTGGTCGCCCAAAAAGCGATGTAAAATAGTATTATAAAGTGAACAAGGCTGCAGTTATAAAGAAATGAGAAGAAAAATGGGTGGAAACTTAACCAGAGGTGGCATTTCTACTGTACACTTTTCCCAAAAGGTTTCCACAATTTTGGGCAGTACTGTAGGCAGCACGGCTGCTTTTTCCGCTCCTCCTTTCTCCTCTCCCCGTCCTTAACTGTGGGAAGCTTTTGTGTCGGCAGGTGCGACGGGTGTGAGGCCGTCCTGTTAGGAATCGAACAGCAGGTCCTCAGAGCCAACCAGTACAAGGAGAACCACAACCGAACTCAGCAACAGGTGGAGACGGAGGTAGGCGTCTTAGAAGAGCCGGGGGTGGCGCAGTGGTTAGGATGCGGCATTGCAGGTTAATTCTGCCGACTGCCAGCAGTTCAATTTTTCCACGGGCTCAAGGTGACTCCGGCTTCCCAGCTTCCCAGGTCGGTAAAACGAGGACCCAGATGGTTGCATTCTTAACCACTGCGCCACCGTGGCAAAGGAACCGGAGATTTCTCAGATATGCACGAACCGTGGCGGTGAAGTGGTTAAGAATGCAGCATTTGCAGGCAAACTGCCCACTGCCAGGAGTTCGATCCTCCTGACCGGCTCAAGGTCGTTGACTCAGCCTTCCCTCCTTCTGAGGTCGGTAAAATTAGGACCCAGATTGTTGGGGGGGGGCAAGATGTTGACTCTGTAAATCACTCAGAGCACTATGAAGTGGTATATAAGTCTATGTGCTATTGCCCTTCCTTCCTTCCTTCCTTCCTTCCTTCCTTCCATCCCCCCTCTTTTCCTTTTTCCTTCCTTCCTTCCTTCCCTCCCTCTCTTCCTCCCTCCCTCCCTTCTCTTTTCTTCTTTCTTTCCCTTCCCCTTCCTTCCCTTCCTCCTTCCTTCCTTCCTTCCTTCCTTCCCTCCTTCCTTCTGTTCTCCCTCCTTCTGTTCCTCCCTCCTTCCCTCCCTCCCTCCCTCCCTTCCTTCTGTTCTCCCTCCCTTCTTTCTGCCCTCCCTCCCTCCCTTCCTTCTTTCTTTCCCCC